AGACCATAGGCTAGAACTAACAAAGTGATACCAGGAGAGAAAGAGTCACAGGGTCTGGGAACTGGAAGAAATGAAGGCTTCAAAGTTTCTACTTCCAGATTAAAGCCTACATTACCAGAAAGGTGAAGGTGACCTTCAGGCAAACAAGAAAGCCAATATAACTAAAGTGTTCCTCCCCAAAGGGATGGGCTACAGAAGAAATAATGATCTCAGGTTTGACATGATAATTTCCCTAATAAGACCTAAATCTGTTGCATGCATCTACTTTAATACCCTGAGTGAATGGCTGTTGAATGAAATCCAATAAGCACTTGGCTCTCCTTAGACTTGCTTAACTAGTTCATAATAACTTAAAGCTGTTGGTCACTTAATTTTGGCAAGGTGATCTTGGCAAACTGCTCCACTGTCCTCTGTGACACAGCCAACCTGCTGACCACTGTTCACATCTCTCCTGGACTTCAATGGAGAGAAATTACAATGTGGATAAGGAGTTCACTGGTCTGGATTCTACTTCTGAAAGGGCTACATACAACAGCAAGAATTTAGACCTGAGACATTTTATGCTTCAATATCTAAAGTAAAAGCCAGTTTATATCTAAGTATTGATGATGAGACTCCTCATAAATGACCTCCAGGAGGTCAAAATGACCATCTATCACTTCAACTTCCATGACAGTTCCATTATGCAGAAATTCCATTAAAAACATTTAGAGCAGTTGGTCTCCTAAATAACCAAAGCTCACAGAAATACCAACTGCTTTATAAAAACAGAAATTACCATTTACAACAACACATTGCTTATCAACGCTCCACAGCATGTCTTTAGAAGCTATGAAATTAAATTAACACCTTTAGGGAAAGCACGGAAGTGTGCATGTGTGTGCTCACACACACACACACACACACACACTAGGTGATGCATACGACAGAGCTGTCCCCAAACATGCTACCCTTCACAGACTGTCAGCTCCTCTACAACATGTGGTACTAAATTTAAAAACATTTAGCTTTTTTTTTTTTTAAAGATTTATTTATTTATGCATACAGAACCGGGGTACAGGCTAGAGGTGCAGGGGCGGCAGAGGCTTCACCAGAGACAGAGTGGGGAGCAGAACAGGCAGATCGACGAAGTACACTGCTGAGGGGAGCAGCGGGCGGGTCAGAGAGGTCTGCCACGCCATGTGGTCTCCTCCGGGGCAGGCGGGGATTGAACTCATGCGGAAGTGGCTTTACCGTCTCAGTGCTGTGCTTTAACCCGCTGCGCCACCAGGGAGGGCCAAAACATTTAGCTTTTAAGAAGTGAACGAGGCCACTTTACTCAGCAAAAAATAGAGGATTAACTTAGATGCATAATGGAAAGGTCCAGGTTGGAATATAATCCAGTTGTGCCGTTCTTACTACCTCTCTCAAAAGGAATGGTAAGCAGTCTCTGCTGATGGCTCCCTACAATTCCTTCCCTTTCTATCTCCTCCCCAATACTCACGACATGCGTGGCCTTGTGCTCACCTGACTCAGACCTCGTCTCATGATCTGCCCTGATTAACAGAAACATGGTAGGACTTCAGGGGCTTGGCATTTCCAATTTCTCTCTCAACATCCAGTCGCCATGTGAAAAGTCTGACCACTGTCCAATGGAAAAAGAGAGGACTCGTGGACAGAGGCTTGGTGACAGCTTGGTCAGTGAGCTCAGCTGAGCTCCCAGGTGAATGTTGCCACATAACTGAGGCCAGGTGAAAATGGCAGACAACCCCAGTCACCCCACAGGATCATGAGAAATAATAAATTTAAGCCACTCATGTGGGGTCCTTTGTTATGTGGTAATAAATCATTGAAACAATGGGTGACAAAAGATAACAAATGGTTAAGAGTGAAGCATATTCATTACTCACTGTGTGATCATCTGGATTTTGTTGTTGTTCATTTCTCTTACAAACTAATTTAAGTAGGAAAACACTATGGGTCCTTCTCTTGTCATTTTCAAACTCCAGACTTCAGTAACATCTAGGACACTGGAACTGACATTCAACACTGGGTTCTGACAGTTCTAAAGAGCTCTCCTTGCTTTATCTTTGCTTTTTCTAACAACTAAGCCACAAATTTGCACATGTGTATGTTAGAGGATCAGGAGGAAGAATGCCGGACTAAGACATCTGAAGAAAGGCCCTCCCTGGTGGTGCAATGGGTTAGAGTGCAGCACTATGAAGCTATCCACAGCCACTGCATCATGAGTTCAATCCCCAGCCAGGGAGCTGACCCACATAGTGTGGCAGACCTCTCCTGGCCCTCCTGCTGCTCCCCTCAGCAGTATATTTCAGTACTTCTGCCTGTTCTGCTCCCTACTCTGTCTATGGTGAATTCTCCCAGCCCCACATCTTTGGCCTGTCCCCCAGTTCTTGTGCGCTTAAATACACAAATCTTAAAAAAAAAAAAATACTTCTGAAGAAGCTTAGCAGAGCCTTAACTATATATAGCATAAAGCCATAGAAATATGGGGCAATGCCACATACTAGCCAGGGATCACGAAAGACATGCTTCTAGTGAATGCCACTGAGATCTTGGGGTTGTCTGACATCCAGCAATAATGGATGGATACAAGGTTCCTTTGTTAAGCTGCTAACACCTGCAAATACACATGGCTCTCTGAACCAACAGAAAGTCTCCTTGGCTCTGGAGGCAACTCAACTGGAACAGGGTGGTTCGTGGTCTCGTTTACAAACAGAAAGTTATAAGTAACAATATTGTGATTATCACTGAACTTTTGCTTTTATAATCTAACATGATCTTTCAAAAGATTAGAATTTGATACTTGAAGTTCTCCCTAATTTAAATGTGACTTAGTTTTCTAGTCAATTCTCTCCCACTTATACTTTGCATTCCTTCAAATCAGATTATTTCTAATTCTTGAGCATGCTCACATCCCCTCTTGCCTTTCCTCATCCACTTCCTTCCTGCATCCTTCATTGAACAGGATGAGCGTCTATACTTCTGTACGACCTGTAGGTCACCCCTACAAGAAATCTGCTCTGCCCCCCACCTTCCAAGGTGGTCTCTCACCCCCTTACTCTTAACATGACCTACGTTTTTTTCCTTTTTTGACAATTGGCTTATTCTGCCTCATTGCACTTTCTCATCCTCTTAGTTCTAAAAAGCAAGACTTATATTTTATTTACCTTTGTATCTACAGCATTTAGCAAAAGGTCTTGCATAGAGACTGTACAGCAGTCTGTGCTGTTTTGCATTTAAGACGGAATGACCGATGGGCTAGAGCAGAGCACAAGGATGCTGCACAGAGAAAGAAACATGCAGGAAGATTTTGGGTCCATTAGTTTTTCTGTCTTCAGCTTCCAATTATGTAAAACTGGGATGACACATATTTCACAGAATTGTGACTACTCAACATGAAAATGAAAGCAAGTCCCTCTCTGTGTTTGACATAGGTGGTGGCCCCATTAACGGGAGCTACTACACAAACAATGACAGAGTATCACATAAGAGTTAAATAAATCCCTGACATTATTTCCTCTTAAAAGAGTTAGCTTGTGACAATGGTACCTCTAGCTCTGTGTAGTATTTTTCCCAGAAACTGAGATTTCATTGACTAGATTTGAGTTTTATTAAAGATGCTCATATGTTACTTCACAGTTCTAAACTCTTTTTCTAGGCAACAAATGCAGCTCCTTAAAACAAAGCAAAACCTCCTCCTATACTAGCCCACTTAAAAAAAAAAAGATTTATTTATTTGTACATACAGACCAGGGGCAGGGAAGGTGAGAAGATTCACCAGAGACAGAGTGGGGAGCAGAACAGGTGAATTGACAAAGTACACTGCTGAGGGGAGCAGCGGGCAGGTCAGGAGAGGTCTGCTAAGCCTGCCATGTGGATCACCTCCGGGTTGGGGATGGAACTTCTGAAGCGGCTATGGGTAGCTTCATAGTGCCGCGCTTTAACCCGCTGCACCATCAGGGAGGGCCTGTACTAGCCTATTTTTAACAGCATGTTAGTGCTCACAGCATCCCCAGTTCTCCACCAGGGGACTAAAACCACCATGACGGTGCATCAAAAGCTAGAAATTCTACATGCAGAAAGAGAAGATATTGACTGAATAATGTAACTGCAGTTGTTGACATGAAAATATAATTTTTATAAGGTTCAAAGAGATGAAGAGATGCTTTTATGAATAAAACTGCCATACAAATGTCAAGGAGTGGGTATCACGGTTGAAAGTAATTCAGCAACCTCTCCTTCATAGGCTTACACTAACTGAAATTTTCTATGAACACAGTCACATTTCATTAGATCTATGGTAGAGCATTCAAGACAAAAGTAAGATGAAGCAAACTCAAAAGCCTGTAGGTGACCACCAAGCATCACAGGAAGGCTTCGCAGTTCACGGGCAGCTACTGCCCAACGGCTAGGGTGACACCTGCCACTGGCCACTGCTTTAGCAATGGAGACTGGTGCTGTCTGACCTCCTGAATAGGAGGGTTTGGGGTGAAATATCCTGATCATTAAAGGTTGCCATGCCTTTTATTTTAAAATTCTCTGAGGGGCTGAAGAAAATAAATATTCCACACACCAGGTGTGGTCATAGAATGTAGTTGTGTTTTTGAAGTTGACTATTTGTAATACAAGGAAATAGCTGTAAGCAACACCAGACTCTCTCCTTTACAAAGTGCATGCACTCTGGTGTTTTTCTGTCTTACAGTTCTCAACTCCCAGGCTACCCTGTGGCCACTGTCTCTTTAGGTCTTTAAAGCTTAAATTATTCAATCCTGCTGATTATACCAAAAAGTTTAAAATAAATGGAATAAGCCTCCAAGTCTTGAATCTCTAAATTATAGTGGAAACTGTTCAGTGTAAAAGATCTGTATTGGCTTCTTTCATATGTCACTAGCCCTTTACCAGAAGGCCCCTAACACACCTAACAACACCACTACAAATACTCTCTCCCACAACGGAAGAAGGTCAACAGGTCAACAGTGAGGTTCAAGGGCACTCACCGCCAAAAACATCTCCATTCTGGTAGTTTTTCCCTTTCTGGGCTTCCTCTTCATTTTGAACAGTGGCAACATGCTTGGCAGAGGCACAGCCCATAGTCTCATTCGGTCAGCTTCAGCCGGGCTGAACTGCAAATCATCTCTACAGACACGGGGACATTTTTCTTTTCTTTTAACACTTTAAAATCCACCTTCCTGCTGAGTCATTCAAGTTGTGTGCACCTGCGAGGACAGAAAGCTGGATCAAAATGTGTGAAACAAAACCATGTCTGACTCTGTGCTATGTGACTGGAAGCCGCTAGAATTCCTGCACAACCCCTCCACTGTAGGCTGCCCTGAGCATGGAGAACGAAATGCCAACCAGGTCATTCTCACCTGCTTCCCCACTCAGCAGACAGGATCAGAAGGCGTGTCCCTTGCACAACATCTGGCCTAACATTTTGAAGAACACAAAAAATGGGGCCTCCCTGGTGGTGCAAGGGGTTAAGTCTCAGCACTATCAAGCTATCACCACCCACTGCAGCATGAGCTTGATGCCCAGCCAGGGAGCTGAGCCACAAGCCTCAGCAGACCTCTCCTGTCTCGTCCTCTGCTCCCCTCGGCAGTGTATTTCAATAAGTCTGACTGTTTTGCTCCCCACTCTGTCTCTGGTGAATCCTCTCATCCTCCCATACCTCTGGCCTATATCCAGGTTCTTGTATGTATAAGTAAATACAACTAAATTTTTAAAAAAGTGCACATTTTAAAAGTGCACATTTGTTTATGCAAGTAATTATTTGCACACCAAGACTTATTACATATATATGTAAAGTGAATGTATGCTTGTTAATTTTCTAGAATCTCACAAGCCTACAGAGTAAGACAAGCACATTCAAGATATATACTCAGCTCAGGAGGCTGGAGGAAATTCTCTATCTTCCCCACCCTACCCTGCAGGTCAGCAATTCTCAGCTCCTAAAAATTTACCAGGGGTCCCTCCTGGTGGCAGTGGGTTAAAGCACAGCACTAAGAAGTTAAAGCCACTTCAGCATGAGTTTATGCCCGGCCCCAGAGGTGACCTACATGGTGTGGCAGACCTCTCCTGACCCACCCGCTGCTCCCTTCAGCAGTGTACTCCGTCAGTCAGCCTGTTCTGCTCCCCACTCTGTCTCTGGTGAATCCTCTCACCAACCCTGCACCTCTGGCCTATACCCCAGTTCTGTATGCATAAATAAATAAATCTTTAAAAATAAATTACCAGGAATAGGTGGTTTTCCTTCTTAGGATGCACTGTGGAATAGTTACCATATTTCTGGTGGTCCTAATAATAGTGTAAAATTTTGCTTTACCAGAAGTGATGTTATTATGAAGGATAAATGGAGGAGCTGGAGCATAGTCTCAGACTTGTTTTTGTCTATTTTGTATATAGTTGAATGGTTTAAGAGTTGAACAAATGTAAGGACTTAAAGAAAATAGCAAGACAGTGGTCTACCCAGAGGAAGAACCTTTTTGTTCATTTATGGCCCTAGAAAAAGCTGAAAGAGTATTTATGGTTAAACACAAGTTGATAATCTCAGTCCACCCAAGTCACTGCTCATATACTCAGGGTTGGCTACTGCAGATGGTTCGGTTTTATTTATTTTATTATTTCATTATCCTTGTTTAGTAGTTCGGTCTTGTAGATGACTTTTATTACAGTCTTATGGATGTTTCCTTTCAAACTCCTACCCAGCAATTGCGTCCTTACTTCTCACACCACACAAGGCAAAAGCAGGGCCAAGTTGCTCCCTCTTGGTCATCGTTGGCACTCACACCATCTTCCTCTCCTTTCATGAACAAATAATGTTTCTCACTCAGTAAAAGTGCTACCAGGATACATCTTGGGCTTTCTCTTTCAACAAGATCTCTGTCCCTCGGCCCTGTTTCTGAGAGCACTGACATCTATAGATGGCAGAAATCTAACCATTTAAAACACAAAGTCTCAACAAAGGGAAGTTTTCAAATGAACTCAAAACTGAAAGATAATCCTACACCATCTGATAAGTGGATTTGGATGCAAAAGTAACAATGTTAAATAAAGCCAAGCAAATACAAATTTCAGTATTGACTTTATGGCTATAATACTAGTCAAATTTTGTAAAGTTCTTCAGACTATTTTCTACCCATGATTAATCAAATCATTAGCAGGAAGTATGGTGTTGGTGAGTGAGGATTTACAAACAAGGAAGAATTTTTCATAAATAATTAATATTTCTACTTTCTCTATCAGGTAACTTCATGTTGTCATAGTTTTTTTTAAAGCTCTACAGGATATACATATACAGTTATTCTGATGGGATTGAGCAGTAATATCACTAAAGCTACAGCATTTCAGCTGGATAATCTATTCACAATGATCTAGAGCATCAGGGCCCTGAAGTGGGAGAGGTACTGACATTTCTAAAAAGCCCACACAACACACAGTGCTATGATATGGGTTTCCCAGGAATTGGTGACGATGCAGAATTCACAAAAGCAGATTAAGTTGTGACAGCAGAGAGGCAGAATTACAAGAGAATGGGCAATTTCTGGAGTCTTAAAAGTTTGGTAGAAATCATCCAGCATCATCCAGATGTAAGAAACAGTCTGAGTGAAGACACCAGAAAATAGAAGAGCAAGACGTATGTCCGCGTGCATGTGTGAGTGTGTGCATGACCACACACTTCTTCACATGGCTCGAGCTTGACAGGAGGAGGGAAAGGTTGCTCTCTGAGGGCTTGAAGAAGGCTGGTTAAAATGATCCAACTTAATGGTAAACCACAGAACATCTGAAGACACAGAAAGTCTCTACTATCCAAGTGGAACACATTTTTAGAGGTATTGGAGGCACAGAAATCCTTTCTGGCAACCTATTAGGTTTTAAGACTACATCACTGAATAATGAGGAAGGAAGCAAAAGAAGGGGGTCCAGCGTAAAGGCAGGAGGAGGGGGATCCTCTCCAGTGGGGAGGCTGCTAAGAGCTGTTGCTTCTGCCTCTTGGATTTCCCAGTCAACACTTTTTCAAGGGGGTATCCCCCTAGCTCCTCAATTCCAGCATTACCACATAAGGTAACAGGTGTGGGTTCCCACAGTGAATTCCTTACTTTTCAAAAAAGAATGTAGGAAAACCACTTCTAACATAGCCAAGAGAAAATCCCAAGTGTAAGGACAAACCACGCCTTTGCCTTGCCTCCTTGTCAGTTGCCATCTTTTCAGAATAAATGAAATAAAAATAGGAAGAAGAGTGGAAAAAGCTAACACAATCCCTAAAGGACACCAGGAATCCAGATTCAAATTATAATCATCCTCCCTGGTAGCCTCTTGCTTTACTCTTCTTCATACCAATTTTGTATTTATAGTTCTGTAGGCTATCCAAGAAGTTAGTGGAGGAATCTATATTGTGATGATCCTTTGCTACCCCTGCAAAGCATTGTGTAGTGTTATGTCTACTTTCAAAGTACCTCGTATCAAAAACCTTCCTTGGCCCTCCCTGGTGGCGCAGCAGGTTAAAGCACAGCACTAAGAAGCTTAAGCCACTTCCGCATGAGTTCAATTCCCACCTGCCCCGGAGGTGACCACATGGCGAGGCAGACCTCTCCTGACCCGCCCGCTGCTCCCCTCAGCAGTGTACTTCATGGATCTGCCTGTTCTACTCCCCACTCTGTCTCTGGTGAATCCTCTCACCCCCTGCATCTCTGGCCTGTACCCCAGTTCTATATGAATAAGTAAATAAATCTTTTTTAAAAAAAAAAAAAAACCTTCCTTGATTTTAAAATGTTGACATCAATGAAAATCAAGTACATTGAAGCAGAAAGGAAACAGATGAGAAGAATTTCAAAGGCTGTCTCTATTATTCAGGCATGGAGGTAAGGGCATATTAACAAGCAAACCAGATGTGATTTACGTTGAACTCAAAAGATGATTCAGGAAGTTTCCATCTCATTATATTTCTCTAAAAGCCTTGTTTAATATGAGTTCTCTCCAAAGCCTAAGTAGGTGCAGACTTTATTTTTCAAACATATATAATACATATTTTACAATAGTAACTTAAGAGTGGTGTTTTTAAATTTTATAAGACATCATTTTATCAGAAATGATTCTTAAGATTTTTCCCATTTTGAGGATAATACTCATGAAGTTATTTGAAATGCAGAAGAGTTCCAATTCATAAAATTAACTATAGATCACTGGGGAGAGTTTCTTTACTATGTTATTTGGATTCTGCACATAAGCAATCATTCATTCATTTAATCAGCAGATATTTGTTGAAAATTACTAACTGTGAGCAATGTGTAGTAGGCACTGGGTACAGAGAAGTAAACAAGACATGATGTGGTTTTCTTCCCTGTCCCCGGAGGACATGAACAGTCTGAGAAAGGAGATCATTAGAAGGACCAGTTTCGAAGCAGCACAGTTCAGATATGGCAGGTTCAAAAGAGGGTGACAGGGGTCTCTCCCATCTGACACCTGGCTCAGCCCTGAGGAGTGTCAAGAAAGGTCAGGTTTGAAACCTAGCCATAGCTCAAGAAACATCTAGAAAGCACCCCTTTTATCATCTAATGTATGAATGTCAAAGTTTAATTTCTACCCAAAATGCCCTTTCTGGTCCTTGGACCTTCAGAAACAAACCGCAACAGTTGCTACAAGAACCTGCTCAAAATTGTTCCCTCAAACAATTTTCTCCTTCACATAATTTAGGTTCCATTTTTCTATTAGTTTTGCTCGCTTTTCTAACTCCCGTGCCCTCTATTCACTCACCTCTCCAAACCCCCACCACTGAAGAGGTAAATCTGAAAGTGTAAACGAGCACGAAGAGACCACAGCATCAGCAGAGCTGAGACTCGTTTCCATTTATTGGTCTGAACAGCTTGCAGCTCCTGAAGTTGCAAATCATAGCGTGAGAATGAATCTGAGCACCTCTTTGATGTTTGACACAATCTTCTAGTACTAAATCTCACTGAAGATATTTTTTAAACAAAATAATCCATACTCTAGGAACATCATGCATCTCTAAAAACATGGGGTCTATGGAATTACTCGTGGCCTTGTGTAAATGTCTTTCCCAATGGATGCAGGCTGCATCCTGTACCATGTAATTAGAAAGTGTAATGTGTAGCCACAGTGCTGTGTGCCTAAATCTAATTTAGTGCCATCTTTGTCAGATATTTTGCCAGCTTTATAAAGATTATTATTTTTTCAGAGATTTTTTAAAAAGTTACT